TTGACTGGCCTTAGCAGATCAATGGATATTATCTATATCGTTTTAAACACAAATTTATTGCATATTCTATATAGCATAGTTTTTTTAAATTGAGCTATGATTCTACTTGAGGAGTAATATAGTACTGTGTCTAAGAGAGATCTAGATTTGAAGTCAGACACGTATAGATCAACACTACCAGGCACTATCATTCACTACCTGTGTAACCCCGGCTGCATCATTTATTAGCTATGTAGCCTATAATCCCAAGTCTCTGTAAAATGAGAGTACAATATTTTTCTTTTTACAGGGATTTGATGATGGTTAAATGAATTAACATGCAGAGGTCTCATAGCTGTTTGAAACAAAGATTCAGTAAATGGTAGCTATTATTATTATTAATGAAGTCTTGGTTCAGTTTAATGTCTGTGTTTAAGTCATGTTTTTTTCCTAGGTTTAAATCTTTAAAGCCTTACATATGTCTACTCCCCCGCCCCCGCCCCCCCCCCCCCCCCCCCGCCTCCTTTGCCTCTATTGTGTGTTTGTTTTTAATTCCCCATCCTCACAACGGGACTAATAATACTTAACCTTACCAGGTTCTAGAGGCAGTAAAACGAGTTGATGCTGATCAAGTTCTTAGTACACCATACTGACTATCAACATTCAGGGTAGGGCAAAAGTAGGTTTACAGTTGTTTGTATGGAAAATAATGCAATAATGAATAAATAATAATTAGATAATACACTCTGTGTTTCATGTACTCACAACTGTAAACCTACTTTTGCCCTACCCTGTATATTAGTGGTTACTACTACTACTACTCCTCATTCTTATTCTTTACAAGAATAAGTAAGTTTTATCTGAGAGACTAAGTACATGGAAATGGCTGTTGTGTTCATCATGCTCTTTTAGCCACACTATATTAAGGCTTCTGTTTTTAGTGAATGCCAATTTTTGTCAACAACCTCCAGTAGGAGAGAACTGCTAGGATAAATGGACATAAAGAAGGAAATTTTCTTTTTCATTTTTATGTTGAGACAGGGAAAGGTCCTATAGAGACTTAATATCAGCCAGTTGATTTGTTTTCTCTCCTTTAAGCTTTTTTTTTTTCTTTTTGGTTATTCTTGCCCCTCTGCCATGGGTAGGTGTCATGTGGAAGGAACATTGTTTTCTGGATTCTGGGGTCTTTTTGACCTGTGTCTGGGTTTTTTCTTCAGTCACTCTGGCTTTAATGAAATTGATTTCCCTGTAATTTATTTTCTCTACACTTTGGATTCAGTAAAGAAAACAGATAGATATGGCTTCTATTCCCAAATAAAATCATTATGAAGCCACTTTCAAGCCTGAGAACTGGAGTTTGGAAGCTTTGGAGTTTAAAGTATATATATATATATATATATATATATATATATATATATATATATATATATATATATATATATTTTATTGATTTTTTACAGAGAGGAAGGGAGAGGGATAGAGAGATAGAAACATCAATGAGAAACATCGATCAGCTGCCTCCTGCACACCCCCTACTGGGGATGTGCCCGCAACCAAGGTACATGCCCTTGACCAAAATCGAACCTGGGACCCTTCAGTCCGCAGGCCGACACTCTATCCACTGAGCCAAACAAGCCAGGGCAGTTTAAAGTATATTTTATCTATAATAGATATGGGTTATAGGGAAAGGGGATACTTTCTGAGACATTTAATATGCTTTTCTTTCTTTCTTTCTTTCTTTCTTTTTTTTTTTTTTTTTTTTTTTTTTTTTTTTTACCTTTAGATATACTAGTATTTATACTGATTTGCCAGGGGTTATATGTTAGGGGCTGGGAGAGAGTGTGGTATTAATTAGAAGACCAAAACTGTTAAAGGAAGGAAGAAAGGAGGAAAGGAGGGAAGGAAGGAAGGAAGGAAGGAAGGAAGGAAGGAAGGAAGGAAGGAAGGAAGGAAGGAAGGAAAGAGGGGAGGGAGGAAGGGAGGGAGGGAGGGAGGGAGACTGGAAGGCCTCTATCCTGTGCTTGGGACTCTACACCAGAGGATGTCAAGTGTGATTCCAAGGGAAAGCTTACCCCAGATACCTAGAGACCTAGGTTCTTCTCCAGTTAGTGAGTAACTGTAACGATTACCAAGCTAGAAGTCCACTGCTTTCAATAAGACATGACAAGTGAACCTGGCTGAGGCAGTCCTCAGGTATAGTTACCAGAGAACATAGATAAGAGCCATGAAACGGTATGAAATCACTGGGAGCCAGGCGATGATCAGGTGTCCTGAGAGGGGCGGATCTGCTTCAGCCTTTCTGCACTTGGGCCAGTGCATCTGGTTGCAGAGCTGGGGGGCAGAAGCGGGGGTGGGGGGGTGGAGGGGTGGGGAGGTGGGTGGGGGGAGAGGTGGAGCAAGCTTATGAAAATAACACACCTTTGGAACTCTATACCCCTCTACAAAGTGAAAGGAATCCAAATATTCAGACTTCAAATGAATTGATGTCTTTTAAAACATCTACACAGATATTACCTTCCTTTTAAATTTCTATATAAACTGCCTCTGGTTTAAGGGAAAAAGTAAGATGGTACCTAAAGAATAGACTAAGTTCCAAAAATAGAGGTACGACTCTCACGTGAGCTCAATCTCATCTTAGTCAGCAGAGGCTGCAGTTTGCTCCACACGAACCTTCTTCCTCCTGTAATGTTTCAGAGACAGAGGGCCCAGGGGAAGCCTTGGTCACTGCAGGTGTTTTGTGAATGAGACAGGACAAAGGGGTTGATGCAGCAGGTGACTGAAGATGTTCATTATTCTTTTGGGGCAACTAAAAATGAGAATTGGGAAGACTGGGAAAACGAGCCTCTTGATGCTGAACCTTAAGTGATAATCAAATAATCTTTGGCTTTTGTAACTCTATAACATCTCAGCCTGAGACTTCAAGTTTCTGTTTTTTTCTCCCTTTTCTATTCTCTAATTTAAGAGAATGCGTATATATTTTTTCCTCATTCAAAAGCATCGAACAGATTACTTTATGCTGTTTGTGTCAGGTGCAAGTTGACAACACATTCTTGCCTACCCCTTCCCAACTTATTTTCCAGAGCTGAAGTGATTTCTGAAATGTCATAACTGCCCCCTCCCTCCATTGCTTAACACCTGTCAGTGACTTCTTATCTCATTTGAAATAAAATCTTCACTTTCTCTCTTGCCTTAGGAGGCCCTTCGTGATGTGGTCTGTCTTCCTGTTCCTAGTGCTCCTATGACAGGCTTTAGGTTTGTTCCTCGGTTGTCTGAGCTCTTACCTCCCTCGTGATATTTGTTCTCACCCATTCCTCTGCTTGAGGAACGATTACCCCCCAGCTGGGGGCGTTCCTGCCTCTTCCTCCAGCTTCAGATCTCTGCTCAGATGTTACCGTCTCTGATTTACCTTCCTGACCAGCTGTCTAAAGCAACCCTTTTCAATACTTCATCCTCCTCTCTGTACTATAGAACCTATCTGGCTATAATGTTTATAGTAATATAATTATGTCATATTATGTATAATATATATGCTACCTATGTGATACATCCATATATATCATTCATTATCATATGCATATATAAGATGTGAAATATATATAATACACATACATATAATATATGGTGTATAATAGGATATGATATATAATATATATTATGATAAATATATATTTTTTATTTTTAAATTCCCACATATTTGTTGTTTTCATACCTCACTAAAATATAAGTTGTATTAAGAAGTAACCCTGTCTGTGACATTGTGCTTCACATCTAAGATAATTCCTGACGGGAAATGTGTGAAGTGGATAACCTTCAGCTTTTGCATTGCACTTGTAAAATGCTGCTATTCTGGGAAAACAGCACAAGATGGCCCGTCAGACAACCATTTCTAAGGGATGTGGTAAACTGTTTGAGAGAGTATTGTTTGCCTGGAAAAAAGGAGGATGAAGTGCAGCGAATATGTATAATTTTAATGATAACTAACTACTGGCCAGGCACTGTAGTAAACACTTTACATTTCTATTTGCTCACTTAACTGTGTTAACTCAAGGAATACAATAAGCTCTTCAGATGGCAATCCTAGCTGCTAAACAAAAGCAGCGTTTCCTTGGATGGAGTATAAGGTGTAGATCATGATCATTTTAGACAACTACAGCTACTTAAGAGACAGCACTTTCATCATGAACATCTTCTCTTTCAAATAGAAAAAGAAGAATGCTAGAGACTGTAAATGTGAATGGAACCAGTATATTGCAATGAGCAGATTTGTTTTGGAAGGTTATCAAGACATAGCTTTTGTTCTGTCCTTTCAACTTTTTAATTTTTCCCTCTCTTTTTTTTTTTCTTAAGAGCACGCACACAACACCATTCTAGCCTCAGGTGTACACCCAGTGAACAGACATGATATAACTTACTAAGTGATCATCTCAACACCCATCCGACACCACACAGCTGTTAGAACACGATGGGCCATACTCCCTGTGCTGCACTCACATCCCCAGGACCATTCCAGCTCTTGCCCTGTTTCCTTTCAAGCTGCTGCCCCAGTGCTGGAGCTCAGAGGGAGAGGGAGTGAGTCTGAGTAAGTCCATCTGTGGCCCTTTTAAGAGACACTGCCTAGGACTCCAGAAGCCTGATCTCACTCAAAATCCCTGCTGATTTTTACAGCCAGAAGTTATGGGGACTTCTCTTCCCAGCACTGGAACCCTGGGCCTGGAAGCCTGGTAGGGGCCAGGACACTTTGCTCCTCAGGGGGGACCACTGCAGTTGATTTTTATCCATCACATGTGGGTGTGGGACTCCTGTTCTGTGCCTCTGCCCCTCCTACCAATCTCCATGTATCTTCTCTTTAAATCCTAGTTGAAGGACTTTCATTCAGCTAGATTTCAGGTGGTTCTGCATGATGGTTGTTCTCTAGTGTAGTTGTAATTCTGATGTGGTTGTGTGAGGGTTTGAGTACTGCATGTACCTGTACCACCATCTTACCCAGAAGTTCTTCAGCTTTTTAATTTTCTTTGTAATAGGTCAGTTTGGCTCATCGGTGGCTTCATATTTCCTCTTCATGAGATGGATGTATGGAGTAAATATGGTTCTCTTCATTCTGACATTTAGCCTCATCATGTTGCCGGAGGTAAGGCTCTGACTTCCAGTTTCCATAGCACACTGCAACGGGATCCCCATGTGATCACCTCTTAGAAAAGCTCCTTTTTCTGTAAGAGTAGAATGCTTATGTATGGTAAGCATCCAAAGAGGTCTGGTTAGTCCACCCTTAGAATCATAGTATTTGTGGCAAAATTAATCTTCAAAATGGTGCCCATGGGCCATTGGGCCAAACGTCCTAATCCTTGCTCTAAAGCAGTGGTTCTCAACCTTCTGGCCCTTTAAATACAGTTCCTCATGTTGTGACCCAACGATAAAATTATTTTCATTGCTACTTCATAACTGCCAAAGGGGTCGTGACCCACAGGTTGAGAACCACTGCTCTAAAGGGTGTGTGAGCCTCCTGAAGTCATTCATATAAAATGTCATGTGTATGTTTACATGTACATTTTTTGTGGGAAAAGGTCCATGGCTTCGTCACATTCCCAAGGTGGTCCTTGGGCCCAAAAGGAAGAAAGAGGGAGGCTTTGTTGCCAAGTTTGCTTGGAAAGAAATGCTTCTTAATGCAACTCAAGGCATCCAGCTTTTCCATACTAAAGAAACACAAAGTGAGCAAATTTTTTCCAAAGTAAGGTAACCCAGACACACACACACACACACACACACACACACACACACACACACACACGCACACGCATGCACGCACACATGGGGGTGGGGTCCCTTTGGACCAAGGTCAGAGAGGAGAATAAAACAGATTGAAGAAGAAGGAAAAGCCCCGAGCTGATGTGGGGAGAATTAGCTAAGGCCAAGAAGCAAGAGTGAGGTTGGGGCCTTTCACCCACGTGAAGTTAAATAACTCAAAGATCTCTTTGGATGTTTACCATACATAAATTGCGTTGGGCTTTATTTAATCTGCAAAGGGTCTTTTTAGGTACCAATATTTCAAAACCAATTTGTTCAGTACAGCATGGAAAACAGCCAAAACTTGGTGTTGAAAGTTTTTATCCCCATGGTTTCAAATCAGGGCCCATTTCTGTATCCAGCCTCCATTAGCATAATCATACTCATAGTGCCTTACATTCATTGAGTTCTTTGCTTTTTATAAGTGTAAAACACTTTCATTTCTTATACTTAATGAGCCTCACAACAAATTTATGAGTTTAAAAGAATTTTTAAGCTATAAAAGAATTTTTGTCCCCCCATTTAAAAAATGTGAAAATTGAGTCCATAATGCTTATTGGATTTAGCTAGCATCCCAGAGTGATTTTTTTTTCAGATTTTGCACCCTAATCTATTAGTCGTATAGTCCTTCAGGTAATTCTGGGGGTTCTATAGCTACTTGGCTTGTAGAAGACAGTGGACATAGATCAGAATTCCTGTATAGTTCATCTCCAAGGAGAAAACTTTCAAGGAATGAAGCAGAATGTGTTTGTATTTTTCTATTTCAAATTAATCCCAGCTTTATTTTTGCTCATCTCTCTAAGGAAACTTGAAACTTTAACACAGCCTACTATGATACACCTTAGTGTCAGACTCAGGTTATATATATCCATGAAGAGTGATCAGCAGAATTTACTGTTTCTCCCACCCCATGCTGCCTCCATGTGGAGGAAATGAAAGATTGTAGCTAACTTGTTCCAACTATATGAAATTGCAGAATCCCTAATAGTATGCAGTGGAGGGAGCTAATATGTGTTTGATTGGGTGTAGTCCTAGAACTCGGAAGCATATTGGCTCTGGATGGTTTTTATTAAAAAACTGATTTTAGAGAGACAGAAAGGGAGAGGGAGAGAGAAAGAAAATTGTCAAAGAGAAAGAGAAACATCTATCAGCTGCCTCCTGCACGCCACTTACTGGGGATCAAGCCCACAACCCTGACTGGGAATCAACTGGCAACTTCTTGGTGCATAGGATGGTGCTCAACCAGCTGAGCCACACTGGCCAGGGCAAGCTTGGGATGCTTTTGTACAGGTTGTGTTAGATGCTGAGGGGCATCCTGTTTTTTGGGGGGTAATGATTACCGACTCCAGCGAAGGAACAAAAGAGGATGGGTATCCTTCATGCCACTTTACAGAACCACAGAGGCCAGGGCTGGTCACCTCCTGGTAACAAGGCTCCATTTCTCAGATGCCTCAGCAACCCCACTCAGTATTCCTCTGATGCATATGCCCTTTTGCCCAAAGTTCCTGTGCCCCTGGGCAAACCCTAATCTCTTCGATCCTCTGTGGCCCCAACTTTGGGGTGAGATAGAACAGGTGGAACTCACCCTCTGTTCTGATTAGTGCCAGGAAGTCAGAGGATCTGCCGGGTTGCCATGGAAACAGAGCAGCTTGTGTGGTTAAAGGGAGTAGGGGCTGATTTCCAGCCCTTACCCAGTCACCCAGATTTCCATCCATATTCAAACTCTACCCCCAGCCCAAGGGAAGGGGAGCTTTCATCTCAAAGAAGCAGTAGCATCTGCTTGGCAAGCCCTGTGGTACCCCGGGGCAAGAGGGGTGCTTTTCCCAGTTCTCACCAAAGCTCCTGATAGGATACTACTCTTGCTCCCTGACTGGCTGTGTCTGCCCCTAGCAACCTGTTCTACTCTGATAGCACTGATCAGGGCAGTAATCCTGAATTAGTGGTGAAGCAGGTTCATAATCAGTCTTCCCTCTTATCACCCTCAAATTCTGAGTGCTACTTGTGAGAACCCTCTTCCCTGGCATGAGGGAGAGATTCTTCTCCCACCCGACCCGCATGAAGATGTGGGTAGTCTTGTTTTCTAGAACACTACAGTCCTCAAATGAGACTGTCCTTCCCAGACCTCCCCAAATGAGACCAGTTTGAAGGGGGTGGTGGGTAGCCTTCTGGGCACTGTGGTTGGCCCAACTGTTGGTGGTCCACTAAACTCAAAGCACAGGGCCCTTAGCACTCTCATTGTTGGGAATTCTGAATTTAATAGGAGATTCCCAGAAGAGGGGACCCCACATGGAGATCCACAGTTCTCATGAAAAGGCTCAGAATTGCTTTTAAACAAAACGGTTTGTGATCACATGTGCAGTTCAGACTTTGTTTCCAGTTGTTAACTGCTTTCTTTGCTTCTCCATATAGTACCTCTGGGGTTTGCCCTATGGCAGTTTACCTAGAAAGACAGTTCCCAGAGCTGAAGAGGCAACAGCAGCGAACTTTGGTGTGTTATACGACTTCAACGTAAGTGTCTCCACACAGCTGTGTTGGTAGATGAAGTTTTCCTTGTTCTGAAACTCTATGGCCTCCTCTAGTGGGGCTGGGTAAAAGTCTTAAACATTCCCCCTGTTGAGAGAGAGAGAGAGAGAGAGAGAGAGAAGAGAGGGAGGGAGGGAGAGAGAGAAGGGAGGGAGGGAGGGAGGGAGGGAGGGAGGGAGGGAGGGAGGGAGGGAGGGAGGAAGGAAGGAAGGAAGAGTAAATAGAGTAAATAGGGTTTGGGAAGATGATAATATGATTAAATGGCAACAGATTCTGAATGAAGGTGAGCTCAGAGTTCAAAGACTGCAAGCAATGTTCTTATCTCTGTCTTTGGAGAACAACAAAGGAAGAGTTTGCAAAAGTGCTTTTTGAGTTCTTAGGAAATTAGAGCTTTTACATTACATATTAACCTCTTAACTTCCTAAACAAGTCTATTTAGTGTTACTATTCAGTCAATACCAAATAAAGCTAAATATTAAATACCAAGCAAAGCTAAATTCTAACTACTAAACAATACCCAAATGAGGATTACTCCACTGTAGCACTAAAATGAGTATTCCTCTTTCAGGTCCCCTGCATGGGGTTTATTGCTATGGCAGAGACTCATCCCTGCCCATTGAAAAATCATTTTGGAGTGTGATTCAAGTCTGTGGCACATGTCCTTCTTAAAATGGTGACCAGGTTGGAGATGTTTGAAAGTGTAGAGGACAGAAAAGTAGCCAGGTGGAGATTGGCGAACTGAAGATTCAAGGAATTTTTGAAAAATAGCAAATGAGAATAAATTTTTATGTAGACTGGGAATGGAAGTAAGGAGCGAAAAACAATAAGCAGCCTTCACGTTTGTAGTGTTACAATAAATGTCTATTTCATAGATGTTTTGAATTTGATCCTTAAGATTCTAAATTGTGAGCTTCCTAAAGAGGCTACACATGTGCTGCATCTTCTTTGACCCCCTTATGTTCTCAACCAATGGAGGATTTCATGAATCCTGTTGACTGGCAATCTGAGTAACAGGGAGGGGGCAGGCATTTGTAGAGCCTTGAGATAAGAACCATAGATATTAATGTATGTGAGCTGTACCAGAAAATGTAAACCTTACAAAAGTTCCTAGTCTGTGAACAAATAGGCAAAATATAGAATAAAGCCCTCACTCTGTAGCATTTGGGATCTAAAATCACCCCTGTCTGTTGGCATTTTTGTTTCAATTCAGTATTTATTTATGGAATATAATATATACTGGTTTTACAAAGATGACTGGAACATGACTCTCTTCATCTCCAGGTACTCATGAGAACTTAATAAAAATACATAGGCACCAAAAAAAAATAAAAAAAATAAAATAAAATAAAATACATAGGCACCCAGTATACAATATGTTATGTGCTAAGTTAGCAAAATGAAGAGAAAGATAGTGGGGAGCCCTGAGGAAGCAGCTAATATTTTGCTTGGAAAGGTTTGTTTAGAGTAGATGGCCTCTAAGTTAGCTTTTATTTCTTCAATTTTATGTTCCCTTTCTATTATTTCTTACTTCTTCCATCCCTCTTCCTCCCCAACCCCCTTTCATATGTAAATTTCAAAAAAATTTATTACTATGCCCCCCTGAAATAATTTTGATTTCTGTTTCTCATCTTCTGACTAGCAAGATAATAAACGTCAAGTCCAGTTAATAATAATAAAAACTAATAATATGATTGACATTTTCAGATATTTGGTCATATCAGAGAAAGGAAGAACTAAAAATATGAACTGGTTTGGCTCAATGGATAGAGTGTCGGCCTGCGGACTGAAGGGTCCCAGGTTCGATTCTGGTCAAGGGCATGTACCTTGGTTGCGGGCACATCCCCAGTGGGGAGTGTGCAGGAGGCAGCTGATCGATGTTTCTCTCTCACCGACATTTCTAACTCCCTATCCCTCTCCCTTCCTCTCTGTAAAAATCAATAATTATATATATATATATATATATATCCCCAAAACAAATTGTTTAAAAAAAAAGAGAGAGAAGAAGGAAATATTTATAGAACACGGTTAATAGATGCAGGCATGACCTCTTGTGGTAGAGGAAGCTATAAAATGGGAAGGTCAGAAACCCTTTAGGATGGAGGTGGGGGAGGTTGTAGGGAGCTGCTTCTCTGCTGAACTTCATGCTAGAAGCTGCAGACTTCCCCTTAAACTCTCTTCCCTGACAGAATAACTTCTTGGAAGCTCAGAGGTCTGTGACTTATAAGCATGTATCACAACTCATCCAAATTCCCTTTAATTGATAGTAGACAAGTACCATTAGATATATGCTAAGCCAGTCAATCTTACAGCTTCTCAAAGCACCATAATTTTAATCCTTTTATTGAGTACCTAGTGATTGATCTTACTGATCAGGGGGAAATACATTTTATTAAAGTAGTAAGAAATTGGGAGATTATCTAATTGGTATGCTATGAATCAAATTGGCAGAAATAGCTTTATTTGAAGCTGTAGAATCAGGAGAAAGAGTTTAAGTCAGTAAGAAGAAGATGCATGTGTTGGCACAAGGATGATACAGGAATGATAAAGAGGAAGAGACTGTATAGTTTAGATATGGAGAGAGAGCGAGGAACTGAGGTGGAGTTTGGAATAGCTTGAGCTAACATCAGACTGTGAGATCATATGGGTAAAGATCTGAGCTGTGATAACGGGGAACGCACTTCGCTTTCCATCTTGAGGGCATCTTGTACAGTGCATATGAATAAATGGTACATCACCTTCTCCTTCTCTGCTCTGCTGGTCTTCATAGATGCGGGAGGTGGGGGAAGCTCTGTTGTGCAGGAGGGGAAAATTAACAACTACTATGTGTTAATCAGACCCAGACATTACATTTTATAACAACCCTTCAAGATGAAGCTCAATAATCATTGCATAATTGAGGGGATTAGGACTCAGAGAAGTTACTTTGCCAAAGACAGCACTTCTAATTAGAGGAGACACTGAAATTCAAGCTAAAATGTGGCTGACTTTCATGTCAAATTCAAAGCCTATTCCTCTGCGCTGCCCACTTTCTCCACATCTCCTCCTTAGGTCTGTCCTCGAGGGAGACTGTCACAGACTTTCTGAATGTTAACAAATAGCAGTTTAGTTCCTTATTTTATCAGTGTCAACAGCTCTTTTAAGTAATGATCTTCAAAGTGAGAGCATCTCCTCACAGACATATCTCAGTTGTCTTAAGCTCTTTCTTCCCTTATTATACTGACCACATTTAGGAGAGATATTTTTTATGATTCATACATGGAATAACACACCTTTGCCTTTAGGAATATTGAAGCAGTTCAAATGCATCTTTATTTTCAGGGGGTCCTTTGAAAGGATAAATCATTTCAGGTTTCCTGAGAAAGAGACGCCCAAAACAATATTAGTTGCAGGAGAAACGGGGCAGGGGGACGACTATAGGTGAGAAAGGGGAAAATGAGCCTGCTGGGGTTGGGGTGAGGGGAGAGTCTTCAGATGGCAAAGCAGGTCTGACAACCAGGGAAGGAGAGAGGGAAGGAAGATTGGGTAGAAGAGTCTCAGACTGTAGCGCCATTCTGAAAAAAGTCTTGGCTGGGCTAATGGTTAGACTCCTAGCAAGAAATGGCCATTGGAGGATTCCCATGTCACTGAAGAATAACCTGGCTCTAGTATTCCTCACCATGCTCGGTCATTGGCTGGAGACATCCTGGTGTGTGTGTGTGTGTGCGTGTGTTCGTGTGTGTTCCCCGGATGAACACATCAGGATCTTTCTGGGTCAATCCAAAGTGGTGGCAGCTGGAGACTGTCTTCTGAAGGGGATCTGAGCAGCACACCCACAGGGCTGCCACAGGGCCTCTTGGCTCTGAAAATGTGACTAGATCAAAACTGTTGCTGTTGTTGGTGGTATTTAGTTTCAACAAGCTTTAAACACACTAACATAACCTCCCTGCCACAGCCATTGTTTCAACCTAGCCAAGTGCTGACTCAGCGGAGAGATCATAAATTATCCATTGGTGAGGGCAAAATAATGACCCCAAGCCAGACTGCTAGGCTTCTTGGGGACAAATATGGGCTTGTAGATTCCCAAGTGCACTCTGAGACATACTCATCCCTGGCCTGGCGGTCATAGATTGAAAGGGGTGAGGATCCTCTAATCTGTACCCATAGTAAAACTCTTTTGAAGACTTCACTGAGCAGAGGGGGGCCCTGCTCAGGCACATGGACTGGGATTGGAAGGATCTAAGGGCTGTCCATCTTGGGTCCTGTATTTGCTTTACTTCCTCAGTGTCCAGCGCTGGTCCCTCTGGTTCAAAGGCTCATGAGGTTGATTAAAAGGAGAGGTGTCTTATTTTCTGTTCTAGGTCCTAGGTTCTTTCTCTTGTTTCATAACTTTCTTGACCTGCTGCTCCTGGACTTCTGTATGACATGTCTATAATGTGATGGGAGAGATAGCTGGGTTTTATTTTAGCTTTCTTGGTTTCCTTCTGGTCTCTTCAACTTGAAAAACGAATTCCTTGGGGTCTGTAGTCAGGGGCAAATGGCAGTGGAGAGATAGAAGGTTATCAAACCATGTGAGGCTGTCTACAATCTAGGCCATGATAATTTTTTTCCTTCAAGCAATTAAAAATAATTTAAGTGGGTGGTGGGTGGATAGTGGCATTATCACACTTGGATTTTGAAAAACTCAACAGATTGGATGAAGAAAAAATGAATGTGAGACCAAAGGACAATCTATCGTTATGATCAAGTGAGGGACTAAGATTGTTTGGAAGAGCTCAATTTACCTGGTAGGAATTTGCTGACATCTAAATACTGGCTGTCCACCTAATAGATTAAATGCTGAGCCATTGAGTTAGATTAGAACTTTGTAAACTATTAAATTATATTGCATAATACAAATAACACCGAAATCATGAGTCAAGTACATCGACTGTAACAAATATTTAAATTTATAAACATTTAAAAGCAATTCAGTAAAATCTTTATCCTAAGTTCTAGCATCATATATC